TCCTGCTCTGGGTTATATGGAGTTGTCATTTCAACGATTTGCCCAAGCTCCTCTGCAAGTTTTGGAAGCTTCTTTGGACTGTATTCCTTGCCTCCATCCATTCGCCACTTCTTAATGACTCTGTTGAACTGTGTATTAACCATTTTCTGGAATTTGAGGAGTGCATTGTATGCACCGCTTTTCGAGTTGTGGAAGTAAGCCCAACGGACTGTGGTTGCCTTTTCTGTAAAAATGGTTGCATACTTCTTCCTTCCAATTCCTTCTGGCGTGATCATGACGACGTCAATGTGCACTTCATCGAATGGTTGCAAGTTCCGAGTTATAGCTTGCTTGCAGATGTGTTTCTTTGCCTTTCCTCTCTCGCATGGATCGCACAATTGGAGAGCTTCATCTTCTTGTTCTTGTGGCGTAAGGTCTTCCTCATTAGAGATCGCCATGCCTCTCACCATTTTTGAGGTCTTCTGTACATTCACAAGTCCAAGATGTCCAAATCTACAATGCCAGAGTCGAATTGAGTGTGGAGGATTCTTCTCATCTTTGTGAGTAGTTGCTGGAAATGCATATGTATGCGATGCTTCAATTATCATCATGTTCTCATCAAAGCGGAACATTGGAATACCCTCCTTGTTGAGTACAAGATTCTTATCCATGATCCGTAAATCACCCCTTCCTAAGAGCTTTCGAGCTCCAAAATGTTCATTCCACAATTTGGCAGATATTGGACTTTGGTAAGGTGTAGGGTGTGAATGCCTCCATCATCTGTTGTGCATTTCAATGTTCTTTCGCCTTGACCAAGTGGCTTGGTGATGCCACTTGCTGTGTCAATGGATGGAAGAGTCAATGAGGTTTCGTATGTGCCACTGTTAAATTCCTCGATTGAGCTGGCGATATGTGTCTCTGCTCCAGTGTCAAATAATGTGCCATTTTGAATTGGCGACCTTGAGTGGTTGAGTTGAACACAAATGTATGTGGTGGCATTCTTGCCAAATTGACGATCCTCATCTTCTTCATCTGATGAGTTGTCATTCTTTGCCTTCTTTAGCTTGTTTGATTTGTTGCTTAATGCATTGAATGGTGTGAACTTCTTTCCTATTTTATGCTCCCATTCCTGTCGAAGCTTCTTGTTTGTGACGAAGCAGTTTTCAGGTTTGTGCCTTGCATTCGGATTTTTGCAGTTCTTGCACATCTTTCCTCCTTTGCCCTTTATGTCCTTGAATTTTGACTTTGGCTTCCCTTTCTGATTTGGCTTTCCATTGTAATGTGTGCTTCCATCCTCTTTCTTGTCCTTCTTTCGGGCTTCATCTGTAATGTCCTCAATAAGTGCAGAAAGTGTAAGCTTTGTTGCTTCACTGCGTGTATTCGAGCGCTGGCGTTCTGCCCATATTGGCCATGCATCTGAGAGTGCCATGATGAAGAGGATTGGGTGCCAGACATCTGGTGGAGGGATCTCGAGGTTGGTAAGTTTCTCAATTGCCTTTTTGAAGCCAATAATGAACTGTTGGAGGTTTGCATAATCTTCGTACTTGATCTTGGTGTATGTCTCAATTGCATTAAAGTTGAGCACAGCACCAGTGCCTTCATATTGAGACTGTAAGATTACCCACATCTCGCGTGCAGATTTGCAACCTGCAAGCAGCTGTGATGGTGTTTTCTTCACATTAGTTTGGATGATGAGTTTCATCAATGTGTCTCCTGCTTTCCATGCTTTCCATGTGGCGAGTTTCTCAATGTTCATCGAACTCATCTGCTTGTGGAGGAGCTTTGCCTTTTGGGTGTATGAAACGGACAAGGTCGTTGGCATCCGCGAGGTCCTCCATCGCAGTTTTCCATTGTATGTAATTCTCCTCTCCTTGGAGTTTCATGTTCTCTGGGAGGTTATTCCGACCTCCATTGCCTTCACCCATTGTGAAAGGTCTTGTGTGTTTGTATAAGGAATTTCGAGTTTGTGAGAGTTGGATGATGGATGATGGATTCGATCTGGGGCTTCCTAGATTGTAGAATTGATCTTCTTCTTCCTCTTCTTGCTGAGTTGAATCGATCATCTGCCAGAGGCTGCAAGTTCATCTTGAGGTTTTTGTGGAGTGTATGTGCTGTATGTTAGCACTTGTCCATGAATTCAGATTGTATGTGCTGTAATGAGCACTTCTCTGAATATGATAACTTTTGGCTTTGCGATAGCCGGGCTCATAACCTGTTGAAGTGTATGATATCACTTGCAGCAGTAGTATAAGTCATCAAGTTGAGTTGAACAACAGTTCACTGGAATATGTGTTGTATTGTTGTTTTGAGTGAAGCTATCTACAGAACTATTTGTGGGTGGTCCGCAACCCGATTCGTGTGGCGAGCCACACGCCCAACCAATCAGTCTGAGCAACCTCCTCCTTCAACATCTTCTCTTTCCTTTCTTCTCTAGATTGAGTTTAATTCATAATACCCAACTGGCTCCCTATGCCTTGGTGAACCGTGACATAAAACTCAATCTCTCTTATACCTCTTTTCCTGCTCTTCGAGCTGAACCCTCTTCTGAAATCGAAATCGAAATCCACTCTTTGAAAACCCCAGAACCAGAAACCTTATCCTGAAGTCGATTCTGGGACAATCTCGAGGTAACCCCTCAAAGTTGGCTCTCAACAGTCAGCTTGACACACACACACCACCTTCACAAGTCAGACCTTTTACAACGCTCCCTCAACAAGGATATAACTGTGAGGAAAATGCGCTCCTCTTGAGTGTCTCCTACGGCTGACAACTGCACATGAGAAGTGGCTCGATCTATATACAGCTATGTTGTTGTGGAGTGAATTCTCTTTAGCGAGACCAGTTCCGAGAATTAACTCCACAACCGAAAACTTCGCTCTAACCCCAGAAAGCTCCCCACAACCCCTGAACCCTCACTCGAGCTGCAATACACACTTGATATCGTAACATTTAGATTCAATCTAGCTTACTTTACCCAGACTAGCACCATGACCTCCATGACCATCATAATAGTTACAGCTATAGTAACGTGACATTAAGGTTACAGGGCTAGCAGGGTTATGCTCTAGTAATGTGACTTATAAGTCACAAGGCTAGTGGGGCTAGGCTGTAGCGTGACCTAGCTAGTAGATAGTTAGGAAACTAGTAGATAGTTAGATATTTGGGAAAATCAGAACTATTCAAACTATCCCTAACTATCTAAACTATCTATAAGGCACGACACCACTATATAAGTAGATAGTATTTCCTTAGATAGGATCTTCATTCTTAACTTAATATAGTATTCTTTAGATACTATAGTGTGTTACTTAGAAAGCCTTCATGTCTAATCCCCTACCTCCTCTGTTAAGTTAAACCTTATGTAAGAAACCTCTATGCATTCTATTAGACAGGAAGCAGCAGTATAGCAGGCTTCTGTAAGGATGCCTCCTTACCTAGATACTCGAAGAACCTGTCTCAGAACTGTTACGGTCACTACAAGCATGAAATCTGACTCGGTGTGGTTTCGAACCAGTAGAGGAGCACATAGCGAGTTACACTATAGTGGGGGACAGTAAGGGTGTAGGGTTCAGGGTCGATGCTGACCTGTTGCGGTGGAAGGATCAGGGCTAGGGTTGGGATAACCGAGTCGGGCACAGACTCAACAGGGTTCCCCCTTCATCTTTTTTGTATCCTTCGTAGTAGACCTATAGGATAGCATCCGTTTAGCCTCCGACTCGCACTCTCATATGCTATTACTGTGAGCTGGGTGCCCTGTGTCCTTGCAGCTTCTAAACGCATTAAGCCACCCTTAACACAACTTACTACTATACTAGGGCAGAGACCTAGAGCCTTTGCAGCAGCATATGCTAATTTAAATTTTCTAGTCTGTACTCCTAAACAGCTTTAGAAAGTCGCAAATCAAGCTCATGAGCCTTAATACTCTTGCGTTGGACCATTCTGGTGTGGTTGTGATATGCTAGTAGTTAGTTATCTAGGTTTGATGGGGTGGCCACACTTACACATACTACACTCAAAACCAAACTGCCAGACATGGTTCTCTCACCATAGTTACTATACTCTATCTACCTATCTACTCTACCCTTCTCTGCACTACTCTCCCTTACTCGGCCTCCCAGCCTCCCAGCCTCTCAGCCTCTCAGCCTCTCAGCCTCTCAGCCTCTCAGCCTCTCAGCCTCTCAGCCTCTCAGCCTCTCAGCCTCTCAGCCTCTCAGCCTCTCAGCCTCTCAGCCTCTCAGCCTCTCAGCCTCTCAGCCTCTCAGCCTCTCAGCCTCTCAGCCTCTCAGCCTCTCAGCCTCTCAGCCTCTCAGCCTTCGCTTCTCATGTCCTCCTCTCCCCATCACCTCACCCCTACTATGTCGGTTACGCGACTCCGTCGGTTACACCACCACCTACGTTAGCGGTGCTAAGGATTGGTGATAAGGATTAGTCATATGTGATTGTTCTTTAGGTATTAGGGGTTATAAGGAGTTCTTTCTTCTAGGTTAGGGGTTTTGTTGACAGTGTCTTGTTTACACCTTGCAGGCTGATTAAGGAAGGATAGGAGATGGCTAAGGCATTACAGGGACTTCCTTCCACCAAACCACAAGTTCGGCAAACATTAAATCACTCACTCACCCCCAAGAAGTCTCATTTTCATAAACCCTCTCAATTCTCATTCTACGTACACTCTCCCCCTCTCCCCATCCCACGTCCCCCATCCATCATCCACCATCCACCCCCCTCCCCATCACATCATCACAGATACAACCCCCCCTAAAAAGTCGCCCCCCATTAAAAAACGCGATTGAAAAAACAACGGAGCAGGAAACAAAGAACAAAATAGAAGGAGAAAAAAAAGAGTAGTAATCCCTAATAATGCTAAAACAAGAGCTGTGAAATTTGTCTCCCCCAGTCTAAATTTCTGTCCTTCCGTCCATCGAAATCTTGGCTGTGGTGCCGCGGCGCAGCGTGGCGCGGTGACGGTGAGTGAGGTTGCTGAAGTCGAAGAGCAGGAAGCCAGAGATCCATCGCAATATCTCAAAAATTGAAAAAAAAAAAAAAGAATTCCGCAGCTTCTGCACGCCGGAAAAAAGATCTCACTAAAAAACAACAAAAATGCGAAAACCACAAGATAACAAAGAAATCGAGAACCTAGGAAATAATTTTGGGGGTAGTGTAGTGGTTGTATGGCGGTATGGTGGCAGTTTTAAAATGGTACCGCCCAATCAATCCACCAAAAAATCTCCAATCTTTAGCTCGCTGCCATCATCTTCATCGCGCGTGCTGTGCTGTCCCATATCCGTTTCTAATTTCCGTTCCCGAACCGAAAAGTAAGGGCCAAGTGTAAAGCCACCCGTTGTACAGTGAGGGTTTATTATTGTTGAGAGACCGGGTAAGGTAGGTAGGTAAAGGTTTGTCTTGCGCGCGCGCTGTCTGTGGCGGATTCTCCTCGAGGGGGGTGGGTGCGGCGGCAGAGGTTTTGGTACAGATGAATGAGGAGAAGGAGGAAGGAAGCTCGCATGAGTGCTGCTCTCGGGGCAACTTGCTGAGCTTTCCCAAGATGGGCGTGTTGTTTCGTGTGGTGGTTGTATGGTAAAGGGGAACTAGTGTAACAATGTCTTTTTCGTCCATCCGTTCGTGAAAATCGTGATAATGTAAAACCCCCCTGGTCGCCGAGAACTGAAAAAAATAGACCGAAGTCGTCGTGGCGGCGGCGGGGAGTAATGCATGCGCTCGTACCGTTACAAGTTTAGTGTTTTTTGCTGAAAAGAAGAAAATCGTCGATATCTTGATTGAGTCACCGGATCGGATCATTTAGAAGTAGTTCCCCTGCTGCTGGCCACCCTGCTGCTGCTGCTGTGCTGCCTGAACAGCCTGGGCACCCTGCGCCCCATTGCCGCGGCCGTATGGATATCCATTACCCGGCTGTTGCTGCTGCTGTGGTGGTGGTGGTGGCCCCGCATATCCCTGCGCCGAAATGCCAGCAGTAGCAATCTGCGTGCTGCTCGGGAACACCGTAACCGGCGCCCTCGTCAAGGCCGGAAAGCCCGCAGCTCCATATGCACCGCCCGCATTCCCATTCGCAAACGCCGTCGCGCTAGCGTTAGACAGAGAGCGCGCGTGTAGCTGGCGAAGCGGGAGCTGCTGCTGCTGCGCGGCCGTCTCGGTAGTCTGCGCAGCGCCCGTGGCAGAACCATTAGTTGCGATAGCTGGACGGCCCTCGGCGCCCTGGAGCTTGGCTTGGATGCGGCGGCCGTAAGGTGTGGTGCGGATCTGTGGGAGGATGGGGCGGATGGCGTCGATGAGACGGGTTTTCATGGCGGGGTTGGCGTAGTCGAGAGCGGTCTGGACGACGTAGTTGGCGAAGGAGTCACGCAGGAGGCGCTCGAGGTCGGCGGGGGTGGCGAGCATTTCCTCGATGAGCATGTCTTTGCTTGGCTCCTGGGCACAGCGGAGGCACTTCTCGATGACGTTGCTGCTGAATTTCTGGCGGGAGAGCTGGCCGACGCGGCCGGCGAACATGGCGACGAGGGGTTCGGTGAAGATGGGTTCGTTGAGGTCGAGGATGTATTGCACGACGTAGTTGCCGAAGGGGTCTTGGACGAGGGTGAACGCGTTGTTGGAGATTTGGCGGATGAGCCAGGCCTTCTGGTCGCCGCTCGCGTGGTCGATGCAGCGCTGGAGGACGCAGCAGCCGTGGCGGTGCGTGCCGACGTCGACGCAGTGGCGTCCGACGGCGTCGAAGATGAACTGCGCGTCGAGCGGGGACAGCTTGTTGAGGCACTTCTGGATGACGTGGTTGCCGTTGAGGTCCTGGATCAGCTCGACGACTTGGTAGCGCAGGGCTTCGATGATGGTCTGGATCTGGCCAGCGGTGGAGATGAACTCGATCATCTTCTGTAGGGCGCGTGTGCCGTGCTGGTTCAGCGCGATGCGCAGGAGGTCCTGGGAGGCGTTTTCGATGAGCACGGTGCGCTCTTCATCGTTGCAGAACTCCAGCAGCTTCTGGCAGAGGTAGTTGCCGAAGGGGTCAGTCATCAGCTCTACGACGTGCTGGTTGGTCTCAAGCCAGATCATGTGGATCTGCTCGGCGTTGCGCTCCTCGAGCTTCTTCTGGAGGAAGCGGCATCCATGCTGGTCCTTGCACAGGCTGTAGATCTCACCACCGAGAGACTCTAAGGCAACATTGGCGAATCTGTTCATAGCTAAAAATATTGTCAGTACATCATTTGAGATCGAGATCGGACACAAAAACTCACCCTCACCATCATTCTGGCGACGTTGCTGGATAACCCTAGCCTGGCTATCACGTGGCGCATTGTTTTGGTATGCCGGTGGGACTCCATAATCGCCATATGCACTCTGGGGGTATGCCTGCTGGCCGATCTGCATGTTCTGCATCGCCATGGCCATCATTGGCATGTTGTACTGGTTGTTGTAGTATTGCACGCCGTATGGGTTGGCTCCAGCCTGCGTGACAGCTGCTTGGTTGAGAGGCACGGAGCTATGGATGACGGAAGGTCCGAATGGAGGAGCACTGGCCTGGAGGGCAGACTGGATCGACTGGTAGCCGCCGTTTGTGGCCTCCCGAACTGGAGTAGAGTCGCCACTGTTGACCTCGCGACCCTGTCTGTTGTTGACTGCGTTGGGTGGGATGCGGCCCAGACTGGCATTGTGGTTGTGGAAGTGCTGCTGAGCGTGGGACTGTGGCTTCTGGGGGGTGCTTCCAACAGCGTTGCCTCCGTTGGACTTCATGGTTGGCACATCATTGGCAGAGTATGAGCTCTGGAGCTTCGGTGGTGTCATCTGGACCTGGCTGGTTGGCGAGGTCACATGGGACTTGTCCTGGTCGCCAAAGTACTTCAGATCCTGGGAGTAACGGTTGGGGGTGCGGACCTTCTGTGGCGACTCAAGAGGGGTCGAGTTCTGCGAGGTAGAGCCGTTCATGGTGCTGGAGTTGCCGTTCTGGCTGGAGGAGGTCTGGCTTATATGGTTGGTAGGCAAGCTCTGTTGGCCAGCGCGGTGACGTCCAAACGAAGACCAGCCAGTAGATTCCGTGGTGGTGGATTGGCCAGAAGCCAGGTCAAGGGCAGCGGATGAGGTGGATAACTGCAGGAGGCGGTGAGCACCGTTTGCAGTGGTAGATCGATCTGGGGACTTACATTCTGGGGGTGCTCTCCGCGAACTAGGATGGGGAAGTTCTCGTCAGTTGCGTGCATGTGGAGGTAGTTCTTGGAGTCCATTGGTCCTCCGGCATCCTCGTCGCCGAACAGGAAGCGAGTGGTGTTGGTCTGGTCCAGCGAGAGCATATCGTGAATGCCGTTGCGTGACTTGGTCACAGGAGTGGAATATCTGTTGAGGCTAGCCATGATGTCAGCTTCTATGATGCGATGGTATTGGTTTTTGTAACTGAAGTGTCAAGAATAAGATCAATAGCAACAAGTCAAAGAAAGATTGGCAAGATCTATAATTGTCTGTGTGAAGTTATGTAAAAGTAGCTGTCTGTTGTACTGCAGCAGAAAGCCAAAGCAATTGTGGAAAGTTGGTGTTGTGTTTAAGATCGGGCAAGTATGTGAAAAGTTGAAAGGGGGAGGGTGATATAGCTAGATCGGCGAACGACTGCCTGAGAGCCTCGAGGAAGGGGGGGCCTTCAGAACAAGCACAATGTGAACCCCTTCTCAACAAAAGAACCACAATGCTAAGGTTCCACTTCCACGCCAACAGTGAACAACACAAAGGTGCAAGTGACAAAAACACAACAACAAACAGCATTCAAAGTAAGAAGAAAGTGAACTTACTGGTTCGAAGACCTGTGGCTGCTTGGATCCTGTCTCACAGCCTGCTCTTTATCATCATCCTCGCTATTGCGTCTCGATGCCGACCCCGAGTTAGACATGATTATAGCGCTCTCGTCCATGGTGTATCGAGATGAAATCAATCCGTTGTGTGGCGAAGTAAGCTGGCTAGCTGAGCGACCGGGACGATTATAGAGTCCTCCAATTGGCGAGGTCAAGCTAGAGGTGGAGTAACGATTCGGGCGGGAGAAGACTGTCGGGAAGCCAGAGCTGGTCTCGCGGTATTCGGGGGGAGTAGTAGGTTCGGACTGGTGGCCGCCGTTGGTGTTGTGCGAGTTGTGGTGGCGCCCGAGGTCCTCTTGCATCTGTCGGAGTTCTTGTTCTTCTTGGCGCTGCTGGAGGTCCAAGATTTGCATCTCAGCCTCAAAACGGCGTTTCTGTTCGCGGAGACGCTCGTATTCTAGTTTCTTCTTCTCTAGCTACGTTGAGGGTCAGCTGGAGAGCTCAGTACGGACGTGGTGAGTTTAGATTGATGTTAGTTGCAATGTATTCAAAAGCTAATGTGTTTGTGGGGGTATGGGGGAGGATGTAGATGTCTTGTTGTGTGGGAGTTGAAGGGAAAAACGCGGTGGGTGAAGCTTACGAGCTGGACTTTATGGTAGTTCTAGATAACAGACGTTAGCAAAAAGGCGCCTCGAATCGATTCAAGCCGCGTCAGGGGTCATGACCAGCCGCAGCCATCCCCAGCCGCGGCTCCCAACCGGACAAAGAAAACACCACACAACCACGCACAACTCTTCACGCTCTCTCACGCTCAGGGGACAGAAACCACTTACCGAAGGCACATACTCCTGCCCATCCTGCACTCCTCTCTGCCCGGTAATGGAATGCAGCGTGGGCACTCTCCCCGAATCTGTCGTGAAGCGCCTCGTGAGCGTGAACCCGCGACCGTCCTGCGCCGAGGCCGACGCCGACAGTGGGGGAGGCAGACGGCTGCCGCCATTGCGCGGTGGTGACACGAGGCCCAGGAGGGGCTGCTCACTGCCGCTGACACCGCCGCTGACGCTGCCGCGCACCGATTGTCGGAAGCGCAGCTCGTCCATCCGCTCGCTCGTGCTGTTCGAAAATGCCATGCTGGGAATTGCTACAATACTGGCCAGGGGGGATCTGTCAGCTTTTCGGGTTCAGGGAGAGAGGCGCGGTGGGGCTGGGGCGCGTGGCGAGGGGAGCAGAGAATGCGCGGGAGGGAGGAGAAGACTCGCTGGTGCTGGGAAGTGCTGGTGGCTTCTGGGGAGGGGACGACTCACAGTTATACAAGAAAAGCTCCTACACTGTCTCGCCGCGAGCCCTTACAACCTGGAGAGCCAGGCGTCGCAAACGGAAGACGTCCAATCTCTCCGCAAGGAAATAAAACAACTAGAGATAGAGGTGAAGAAGGCGGGACGAGAGAGAGAGAGGTGAGAGGTGAGAGGTGAGAGGTGGAGAGGTAGAGAGAGAGAGGGGGTGATCGAGTCGGAGAGGTTGTGCGTGTGTGGACGTTGGGTGTGGTGCAGAGGTCGTTGATGGTGGACCCCTGTTTCTAGGGATCCGCCTTCGGCAAAGCTCCAGTAGTGTGCGACGGAGGGGGAAGGGGGAAGGGGGAAGGGCGGTGGGCGTCGACGCACAAATGTATGTCCTAAAGAGGAGGAATTGAGGATATATTGAGGTTTGAGGGTATGAGGGTTTGAGGGTTTGAGGGTATGAGGGTATGAGGGTATGAGGGTATGAGGGTATGATTATTATTATGGTGGGATTGGGATTGTGCAGTAAGTATGGGTAGGGTATGGCCAGTGAGTGTTGGGGAGTACGGGGGTTCCTATAATGAGGGTACTCGGGGGTGTTGTCCCGACAGTGCTGGGAGAAGCACGAAAACTACAATCCCGGAAAGTACCATGGGCGGTACCTCGAGGACCAGTTGAACATACGCTGGCCACACCTCTACCACACCCACCACACCCACCACACCCTCTACCACCCCACCTACAACACACCACCCACATGTACCACACCGTCCAAATCACGCTCCAAGTTACCTGTCTGACGGTAGTCTGGGTGTGCTGTACTCCACTAAATCCTAGTGACTCTAGTAGTAATATTTAGTATATACCCAGCGCCGTCGGGCACACTCTCCACGCCCAAAATCGGACGAGGCAGGACGGTGAGGTTAGAGTGGTAAGTTAAACACAAACCTCCCCCCGTGTCAATTCCTCTATATTATATTACCTCGACACATATATTACCTTCAAACTCCCCCCCTCTATCCATCCCCACGCTTCCTCCAGCGTTCCTCCAGCGCCCATTCCTCCAGCGCCCGTTCCTCCAGCGCCCGTTCCTCCAGCGCCCGTTCCTCCAGCGCCCCTTCCTCCAGCGCCCCTTCCTCCAGCGCCCCTTCCTCCAGCGCCCCTTCCTCCAGCGCCCCTTCCTCCAGCGCCCCTTCCTCCAGCGCCCCTTCCTTACTTACCCACCATGCTCTCGTCCGCCCCGAGCGAGCCTTGAGTAGGAATGGACTAGACGGAGCAGGACAGCCCATGTACGAGGAATGGAATTGATCCAAGGCACTAGAGGACTCTACCCTCACACTTTAGGCCCGATCATCCCCCGTCCGCCCCGTCGAAGAAGGAAAGAAGCTACGTTGCGCTGCACCCTCGGGCGCCCTGTGCGATAGATAGCGGTGCATCTGAAACGCCTCAGCAACTTTAAACGCCCTCTCCCGTACGTTTTTTTCCCCTCTCCTTGCCTGCTTACTTATCTAGGGAACCGAGTCTGTCTTGTCTGTCTCGTCTATCTCGTCTGTCTCGTCTGTCTCGTCTGTCTCGTCTGTCTCGTGCAGGACGCACCTGCGGAAAGCACCTGTGAAACCCCTCCCACCGCAAACCATACCCCGAAACGGACAGAACGTCCAATCACCAACCACCCACGCCGGAACCCCCCTACGCGACCCTTTCCGTTCCGCCACGCCGCAGCCGCCGCGCCCCTGTGAGCGACGGACGCAATCAGCGCCGCGATGATGCAAGACACACAAGATAGACTCGGTTCCCTAGATAAGTAAGCAGCAGATGTCTGATCTGATTCCCTACCTCGCCCTGTGCCTGCCCTACCCTATGTGGACTCATGCGTGCAGCACGCCGGCGCAAGACTCAGACCTGGATGGACCCCGCGGTGCGCTGTGCAGCTCCGCACCGCTCCGCACAACTGGCTTTCCTTGCTTCGCGCAAGCCCGTACAGCACGTCTGTCCGGATGGAGGGATGAGGGGGGGGGCGATCTGTAGGTGCGCGGCGGCTCTGGCTGCAGGTTGGGGCGTGGACGAGTTGGAAGCCGTGATGGATGTTGTATTACCCCCTCAGTATCACCTTCTCCTCCCTCCTCCTCTCCCCTCTCACCGAGGGCAATTCGCAGATCAATGAGACGGGTCTCATTGATCGTATCTCGTCCGATACCAACTTGGATCCCACCCTCCATCCCTCCCACCTCCCTCATCGAGCAATCATACACCCCAACGGCCAAGCCGCCGTCGACGTGGGGTCGCTCCTGTACCGTCTCTCATCCCACTTCCCACCAACCCAGACGGGGTCTCAACACAGGCGGTGAGCAAGTCTCCCAACCAATCTCATACCCGCCATTGCCTCTCCTCCCTCGATGCCCTCCATGTTAGTCTCTATCCCGTTAGACCCTCATCCCACCTCCCTGCTGCCTTACAGCCTCAGGGCGCTCTTTCCTGAACAAAGATCCTCCGTTCCGCGCACCTCGTACCTCCGTACCTCCGTACCTTTTCCCATGCCTGCACATCACCCGTATCTCTTATCTTATCTTAGCCCCGGCAAGCTTCACCTCAACTTTTCCCAATGGTGGGTGACAAAACACTCGCAGCCGTCAACTCCGCAACCACGCCTCCCAAGCCAACAACCATGCGCCGCGACGACAGGTAGCGCACACCCCCACTCAAGACGAATACATAGGCCTCTATGCCTCCGAGGAAACGCGCTGCTGCTGCGCCCGCTGCTGCTGCGGCTGTGCCAGCGCCTGAGGTGCCTGCCCCGCGCAAGGAGTCATGGGGAGGGGGGCTAACGGACGAACAGGCTGAGAAGACGACGGCGGAGTTTGATCTGAGTACAGAGGAGGGGGTTAAGCAGGCGGCGAGGAGGGCGAGGGCGGAGGCGCAACGGACGGTTGGGAATGATGTATGTTTGCACCACTCTGGGACGATGACTGGGTGCCTCGCCAGACGGAAAGGATGGATGGCTGACAATATGGAATGTAGGGATTTGAGGCGCTGCTGGAGCCATTTTATGGGGGGAAGAGCTTGACGGATCCGATTGATACGGCCAAGGTATGGGCTTCCTGCGAGAATTTGTTTTATGCGATGATGGTTGCTGATGATGGGGTGTTTTTACAGGATAAATGGAATTTGCTCCCGGCTTTTTTGAAGGTGAAGGGGTTGGTGAAGCAGCATATCGACTCGTTTAATTATTTTGTCGATCATGAGATTAAGGATATTTTGAAGGCGAATAAGTTCGTCAGGAGTGATGTGGATAATACCTTTTGGCTTGAGTACGTCTCTCCCCTCCGGCTTCCTGGGGCATACTATTGCATACCACTAACCACGATTCCCTCACAGATACACAGACATCCGCGTTGGTGCCCCAGAGCGCCTCGACTACGACGACCGCAAACCCCTCAACGATGTCACCCCGAACGAGTGTCGCCTTCGCGACCTCACCTACGCCGCCCCCATCTTCGTAGACATCAAATACGTGCGCGGAAAACGCATCGTCGCGCGCCGCGGCATCCCCATCGGGCGGATGCCCATCATGCTTAAGAGTTCCAAGTGTCGCCTAACGAGCCGCAACGATGGACAACTCGCATACATGAACGAGTGCGCCTTGGATCCAGGAGGATACTTTATTGTTAACGGGACGGAGAAGGTTATTCTGGTGCAGGAGCAGTTGAGTAAGAATCGAGTGATTGTGGAGACGGATGCGAAGAAGTCGATGGTTTCGGCGTCGGTGACGAGTTCGACGCATGAGAGGAAGTCGAAGAGTTATGTGGTTATGAAGAAGGAGAGGATATACCTCCAGCACAACGTCCTTACTGAGGCGGTGCCGATTGTTATTGCGCTAAAGGCGATGGCCGTGCAGTCTGATCACGAGATGCTGTTGCTTGTTGCGGGAACGGATGCGACATACCAGGATGACTTTGCAGTCAACTTCGAGGAGGCGGCCAAGCTGGGTATCTTCTCGCAGCAGCAGGCGCTAGAGTGGATTGGAGGGAGAGTCAAGATGGGGAAGAGCCGCTTCGGGCAACCACAACGGCGGAACTTTGCACAGGATGGGCTGGAGGCGCTGGCAAATATCGTCATCACGCACGTTCCCGTCGTGGGATTAGATTTCAGACCAAAGGCGCTATATGTGTGCTTCATGGTTCGACGTGTGCTGATGGCGATGCACGACCCAAAGCTAGTCGACGACCGCGATTACGTCGGTAACAAGCGTCTCGAGCTGGCAGGCCAACTTCTCTCTCTCCTATTTGAAGATCTGTTCAAGAAATTCAACTCGGATCTCAAGATGAACATCGACAAGGTGCTCAAGAAGCCGAACCGCACCAACGAGTTCGACGCCTACCAGCACATGCAGTCTCATGGCAACTACATCACGCAGGGCATGAACCGCGCCATCTCGACTGGTAACTGGAGTTTGAAGCGTTTCAAGATGGAGCGCGCGGGTGTCACGCATGTGCTGAGTCGGTTGAGTTATATCGCTGCACTGGGTATGATGACGCGTATTAGTTCGCAGTTCGAGAAGACACGCAAGGTGTCTGGTCCGCGTGCGCTGCAGCCCTCGCAATTTGGTATGCTGTGTCCCTCCGATACGCCTGAAGGTGAGGCTTGCGGTCTTGTTAAGAATTTGGCGCTCATGACGCATATTACAACCAACGATGACGAGGAGCCAGTGCGTAAGCTGGTCTTTGTTCTCGGTGCTGAGGATATTGTGTCTATGAGCGGAAAGGAGATCTATGACGATGGGGCATACGTTATCTTCATCAACGGTACACCGCTTGCCTTGACGAGGAAACCAAAAGCTTTCCTCGCAGGCTTCAAGACCTTCCGCCGTACGGGTCGCGTGTCCGAGTTCGTGAGTTGCTACATCAACCATCACACAAGCTCCGTTCACATCGCCACCGACGAGGGCCGCATCTGCCGCCCGCTCATCATCGTCACCAACGGCGTACCGCGGATAAAAGACCACCACCTCGCTGCCTTGCGCGACGGCACCATGGAGTTCGACGACTTCCTCTACCGCGGCCTTGTCGAGTACATCGACTGCAACGAAGAGAACGACGCCATGATCGCCCTGTACGAAAACGCCATCACACCCGCAACCACTCATCTCGAGATCGAGCCCTTCACCATCCTCGGCGCCGTCGCGGGTCTCATTCCCTACCCCCACCACAACCAATCTCCGCGTAATACGTATCAATGCGCTATGGGTAAGCAAGCCATCGGCGCAATCGCCTACAACCAATTCGCACGTATCGACACCCTCCTCTACCTTATGGTGTACCCACAGGCACCTATGGTCAAGACCCGCACCATCGAGCTCATCCGCTACGACAAACTGCCCGCCGGCCAGAACGCCATCGTGGCCGTCATGTCCTACTCCGGGTACGATATTGAGGATGCCTTAGTGCTCAACCGCGCCTCCCTCGACCGTGGCTTCGGTCGCTGCCAAGTCCTCCGAAAATACGCCACCAAACTCCTCAAATACGCAAACCGCAGCGCCGACCGCATCGGCGACCGGGACTTCGAAGTTCGCGCATCTGACGGCGCCACCGTCCCCATCGAGAAGCACCAGCTCCTCGGCGCCGACGGACTCGCGCACGTCGGCGAGATCGCCCGTAACGGCGACGTGTACGTCAAGAAGGAGACGCCGCTTAACACCTCCTCAACGGGGATCGGTTCCGATTCCGGGCGCAGCTCAGACATGAAAGATGCATCGATGTCCTACCGCCTCCCGGACCCGGCGTATATCGATAAAATCATGATCTCGCAAACCGAAAACGAAAGTACAGTGATCAAAGTACAAACCCGGCAAACCCGTCGCCCCGAGCTCGGCGACAAATTCTCCTCGCGCCACGGGCAAAAGGGCGTCGTCGGGCTCATCGCGCCCGCCCAAGATCTCCCCTTCGCAGACTCCGGCATAACCCCAGACATCATCATGAACCCCCACGGTTTCCCCTCCCGCATGACAGTCGGCAAGATGCTCGAGCTGCTCTCCGGAAAATCCGGCGTCATCCGCGGCACCCACGAGTACGGGACGTGTTTCGGCGGTTCGAAAGTCGAGGAGATGGGGCAGGGGCTCGTGGACTCGGGGTATGCTTATGCCGGGAAGGAGTTCCTGACGAGTGGGATTACGGGGGAGGCGCTGCCGGCGTATGTGTTCATGGGGCCGATCTACTACCAGAAGCTCAAGCACATGGTGCAGGATAAACTGCACTCGCGATCGCGTGGGCCCAGGGCGATATTGACGCGCCAGCCTACGGAGGGACGGTCGAGGCAGGGCGGGTTGCGGTTGGGAGAGATGGAGCGGGATTGTCTGATTGCGTATGGAGCGAGTCAGTTGCTTTTGGAGCGGTTGATGTTGAGTTCTGATGCGCATGAGGTGGATGTTTGTGAGAGGTGTGGGTTGATGGGGTATCAGGGGTGGTGTCAGACGTGTGGGAAGGGGGGGGTGGCGAGGATGGTGATGCCGTATGCGGCGAAGTTGTTGGTGCAGGAGTTGTTGAGTATGAATGTGCTGGTGAGGTTGAAGTTGGAGGATGAGTTTCCTGCGCCGACGTAGGGGTGGGAATGTGGGATGTGGAGTAAAAGGGGGGGGGGGTTCTGTACATCATCTGCATAGGTAGCAAGGAGCGTTTTGACATTTGCACTTTCCTTTATTGCTAGTACTGTTCCGTTTCGTGATAAAAGGCGTAGTTATATGTATGATACCTCCTGTGCCTTTCAACTTTCCTTCAACCCTTACTCGCCCTACAAAACAAAACGCTAAGTCAAACTCTGGATCTACAGGCCATTGAGTAAGCTTTCCGCCTGTAAAAACAAGGATAGCGGCAGCAATGCCACGCGGTACAAGAAAGCCTACGTGACGACAAGAACAGCTGTGTCGTGACAAGAAAAGTTGCGCAATAACAAGAAGCTCCGCTAGTGACAAGAAAGGCCAACTACACAGCCGTCAAAACAGCAATCGAGTATCCCAAGTGCTGCGACGGCGGCGATGATTACCAGCATTCCCCGCTCGATGGGCAGGCACCTAGTATATAGCGAAGAAGGAACTTCAAGACTGATTTCCATCCTCTTCCTCGATGGCGATGGCGGAATAAATATTGGCAACATTCGCACTCTGAAAACAACGACCCGGGATATTATGACCGGAATCCGCACATGGATTCCCTTCGGTGTGTATATAGCCACACAGTCACTACAAGCAGACAGTGCAGGAAATGAATGTGATTTAATAAAAGTGGTATCGTGAATGAAATCCCCCATCCTTCCTACTCCAACCCTCTATCCCCAATTTACCCCCCTCCTCTAACCTTCAACACTTATCTACTCCTCAGTCTCCACAACCATCTTATCCGTCGACTGCGCCAGCGACGTCTCCAACTGGTCCGCTTATACAGCGGCGGCTTGGGCACCACATCGCGGCGCATGATGTACTTGTTGAAGAACCAGGGGAGCGCCTTGGTGACCTGGTAGTGCATGTGTGTGCGTGTTGGCACGGCGAAGATGTAGTCCAGCTCCTCGAGTGTGCGTTGCTTGGTCTCGGGGACCTAGAGGAAGATCATGACGAAGGCGACGATGTTGAGGCCGGCGTAGAAGCAGAATGCGCCCTACTCGGTGTAGGTTAGCTCAAGAGTTCGCAAATCAGGGGTACTCGCGTGTCGTTTCCCAACTCCCAGACCTTCGAGAGCCAGGCTATGCTTACTACCAAGCTCGCGACTACTTCCGTATCAAACAACACCGTTGCTGGTTCCAACTCTACATCGGCCATCATTAGCCGGTCTAGCTGGGTGAAGCTTAACGCCCGTGCTGAGTTCTCCACCACGCAGGTCCAGGGTGGTGACGACTGTGGTGTATTGGCAACCAGGTGTGGTATCACCGCCGCTGACTTCACCAAATATAATAGCGACGCAAGTCTCTGCTCGTCTCTGAAACCGGGATAGCACGTCTGCTGCTCGGCAGGAACCCTTCCTGACTTCGCGCCGAAGCAAACTCTGATGGTTCCTGTAATGTGTACTATGTTGCTAAGGATGATAACTGCTCAAACATCGTTGCTGCAAACAGCCTCACCAATGATGACCTGGAGGACTTCAACAAGAATACCTGGGCTTGGAGTGGATGCGATAACCTCCAGTTCAACATGAACATCTGCTTGAGCACGAGCGACCCGCCCATGCCGCCTAGTCAAGAGGGTGTCGTCTGTGGTCCGCAAAAGCCTGGCACCAAGCAGCCAACCGATGCCACCAAGCTCGCAGACCTTAATCCCTGCGCTCTAAACACCTGCTGTGATATCTGGGGACAGTGTTGTATCACCGCAGAGTTCTGCACAGGCACCGGAACTGGCAACCCAGGAACTGCTAAGCCCGGTACCAACGGCTGCATCTCCAACTGCGGCACAAAGATGTGTTTAGTGACCGGACCTTCGGGCTTTGCGCAACAGGCAGGAAAACTCGACAGTAGACTACAGTATATACAATAAAATAGATTGAATTGAATTGAATTACTACACTACCTACGGAGCCTACGTATTATTTATGTTATTTAGAGGGCCTACCTAAACGCCCCAAGTAACAGAAGGGTTTAGGCCTAAAACCTAATGCGCTAGAGTTCCAAGGCAATCTGCTCACACTAAGCGCTAATTACAGTATTATCTCATTAAGTCAATACACGATTAGTCAATTTTCTAGATAATCAATAACTTTCTTCAGATCATTCCATTCATCATACAAATCACAATACACACGATATTAAGTCCCTTTTCCCGATTATCGACTTAAACTAATTACTAGACTACTCTTAGAATACCGTCAAAATGCCTTCAAAAAAGCTCTATTCTATGACTCTTAAACAGCGAAAAGCCCTCTAAACCTAGCATCAATCTCACCATCCGAAACCTACACAAAAGGCCACTGTATAGTGGTTCCTCAAGCAATACAATCGTCAACTTCGCTAATCTACAGCTCAGAGTCCCTTAGCTCTCAATTTTCAGACCTTGACGATACCCCTAATACTCTAGAAACAAACAGCTCTAAAGATTAGCGTCGCTATGCTGTCGCCTAGCCTAAATTAGAAGCTGCTCTTTATGACTAGCAGAGGCTTATTAAAGAGCGTGGCAGCATTACAACTACAGAAATCTTACAATCAAAGGTGAAGATTATCTAGAATCAGCTACTACAATACCGTGGACTACCTACGCTAGAATTTAGCTATGGATGGATCATAAAGTTTTGACAACAGAATATATTATATCAAACTCTACACAGCAAAGCTAGATCTATTAGTGTCACTACAGAAGAACAAATGAAGGCTATACAAACTATTACAGGGGAGTTTTTAGAGGACAATATTTACAACATAGATGAGACTGGGCTTTACTAGAGGATGAGCCCTTTAAAGAGCTTTATAACACGATTAATTCTAGGACAGAAAAAGGACAAAGCACGCATATTAATAGCCATTTGTGTTAATGCTACTAGAACAGATCGACTTCCTCTTTGGTTTATTAGAAAGGCTAAAAAGCCTCGAGCTTTACAACATGTTAATGTAAGGGTAATAGGTGGGGTTTAGAGGTGGAATGTCATACTGACATTCGTTGCACTCAGTTTGCTATCAAACTCAAGAGCAAACTTAGAAATCTCCTCCTCAAACCTACAAGTCACCATACATATCTTGGCTTATCACACCAACAACAGAAGCAATACTACTCAACGATTGCTGCAAACTCTTCTACTACATCTGTTTATGCTACATACATCACGGCATATCATTTGAACACACATTGAACAAGTTATTAAGAAAATCTCCTCCTTAAGGGGGTGGGCCAATACTACCACATGGCATATATCTACCAACTAGAGGCCTAGGAACATGAACGATAGCTCTAGAAGCTTCTACAACCCTCTATGATTCATTACACGTCATCGCTCCTTAGTTACCCACAAGATTGGTTAAGTTATGACATAATTTGTCTATAGGTACTCTGACCTTGGACCTCCTTTTCACTTCCTATAGGCTAGGAACCCAAGAGATGGTTCTATGGGATTCTCTTACGTTCACTACATGATTAGCAAGCTAGTTGTGGGTCGCACTTGATTTTTAATACATTTACCAAGCCTGGTTAGTCATGGAAAGTCATGGAAAATGAGAGAACTACACTCCTTTGGCATAAATAGGATTGCCCTTTCCTTAAGAAAGGGCAAGCAGGCAATACAGTAAATCGACTAGCACATACTTCTACGTCTTTTCCAAGCTTCCAAGCATTGATCTTGTTATTCTCTGTTTTTTGAAAGAAGAAAGGAGAAGAACCAAGACTGGCATCCAACAAGAAATTTCAACAATTACACCTCTACACCAACTGCTAAGGACTCAGCACCTAAACCTATGGACTTAGACGCCTCTATAAAGAGATCTACAGCAAATCCAGCACCTCAGCCTACAGGATACCCTCAAAAACTGAAAAGGGGTGAACTTACCCCTCAAGAAAGAAAACACAGAATGGACAACAACCTTTGTTTATACTGTGGCAAAGGGGGACACAGAATTCAGGAGTGCTATTCAGCACGAGGGAGTGCTGATTCAAAACATATAGCAGCCTCAGACACAGTCACAACTGCTATTCCTGAAAAACTTGAAAAATCCCTAGCAGGCACAACTTCAACTGAGACTATAACTTCTCCCCTAGACAACAAAGATGTGTCGATGGTGCTTTCTCAGAGTCTCACACACCTGTTAATCCCTATTCAACTCCATTTCAAACAACAGGTGTTGTCTACAAGGGCTATGATAGACTCAGGGGCAACAGGCAACTTTATATCTCAAGACCTCATCTTGACACACCAGTTACCTACAATTCCCAAACGCACTCCAGAGTTGCTCCGAGTCATTGATGGAACTCCTATCAGTTCAGGTTCCATTACCTGCAACACCCCAGTACTCAAACTTGAGATTCCCCTAGGAAAATCAACATTTTCAGACACCATCTCTTTAGATGTTATACCAATGAAGTACCCAGTTATCCTAGGTCTTCCATGGCTTCAAAGGCATGATCCAACTATCAATTGGAAGCATTTATCGCTTGGGTTTAGCTCAAATCCTGAGCTCAATACTGAAAAAACCCTTCAAGCCTCAGTTACCCCTATTCAGGTCCAAGACTCAAACTTGTCCCAGATCAAGGATTTTGACCAAACTATGGACGATATATCATCTCTGATATGGGTTAAACCTTTCCAACCTGTCCTGGAGATAGCAGCTACTTCAGATTTGGAGAAATCATCTCAGGAGGTCATTTTGCCTTTAGCATACCAAGACTACCAACATCTTTTTGACAAGGCAAAGGCATCAATTCTGCCAAAGCACCAGCCTTATGACCATGAGATACCACTCGCAGAAGGCTCAATGCCTCCCTACGGCCCTATCTACTCTCTATCTGAATTAGAGCTGAAAACTCTCAGAGAATACCTAGATGAGAACCTTAGTTCTGGCTTTATCAGACCTTCTTCCTCACCAGCAGGAGCTCCCATTCTCTTTGTCAAGAAGAAAGATGGCTCCTTGCGTCTCTGTGTTGATTATAGGGGCCTTAATGCAGTCACTGTTAAAAACAGATATGCTTTACCCCTTATCCCTGAGCTCATAGATAGGCTCTCTTCAGCAAGGATCTTTACCAAGTTAGATCTCAGGGGAGCTTATAACCTGATACGCATCAAGGAAGGTGATGAGTGGAAGACAGCATTCAGAACACGCTATGGTCATTTTGAATACCAGGTAATGCCTTTTGGGCTTGCCAATGCACCTGCTTCTTTCCAAGCTCTCATGAATGATATTCTAAGACCTTACTTGGATATCTTTGTTGTTGTCTACTTAGACGACATTCTTATATACTCTTTAGACACTCAAGAGCATGTTCTACATGTTAGACAAGTCTTAGAGAAGCTATCTCAAGCACAACTCTTTTGCAAACTTGAGAAATGTCTTTTCCATATGTCTCAAGTTGATTTCTTGGGACATAGAATTTCAACAGAAGGCATTCAGATGGACCCTGAAAAGACAAAAGCAGTACAAACGTGGCCTATTCCTTCCAGCATTAAAGAGGTTCAGTCTTTCCTTGGGTTTGCCAACTATTACAGGAGGTTTATACCAAGATATACATCCTTGGCTTTACCCCTTACTCAATTACTTCACAAGGACACTTTGTATCACTGGGATAAGACACAGCAAGATGCTTTCGATGCTCTTAAAGGAGAATTTAAAGAAGGGAAAATGTTACTACACTTTAACCCCTTGAAACCTGCCACTCTTGAGACAGATGCCTCAGATTTTGCTATTTCTGGAATCTTATACCAAGCTCCAAAAGACAAACAAGAAGAGCTACAGCCTGTGGCATTTTACTCAAGAAAGCTATCAGCAGCTGAACAAAACTATCCCATTACAGACAAGGAACTGCTTGCCATAGTATGTTCTCTAAAGCATTGGAGATGCTACCTTGAAGGGGCAAACTATCCTATCACTATTTACAGTGACCATTTAAACCTCTTGACCTTTACAACCACTAAACAGCTCAATAGACGACAAGCAAGGTGGTCTGAACAACTAGGAGGTTTTGACTTTGTTATAAAACATGTCTCAGGGGCCAAGAATCAAAGAGCAGATCTCCTCTCAAGAAGACATGACTACCAAGATTCTGCTAAAACTAGCAATACAAAGGCTCTGCTAGACTCAGCAAAGCTTATAGCAGCATCTTTAAGCAACCCTAGTACTACAGAGGACTTAGGGGTAAACTTATCCCCTCAAGACCAAGTTGCCGCCATTACCTCTTCTCAGGAACCAGAGACCTTTAAAGACTATACACCCTCAGCAACACTTCTTAAAGCATTCAAAGATGCTTACAACCATGATCCCTTTGCGAAAAGAACTTTGGAATACCTCCAGAAGAAAGGTTACTCTCTTGAGAAAGTTGGACTACAGAATTTCTCAAAAAATCAGCATGGACTTCTCTTATTCAAGAACTATATCTATGTCCCAAGGGATAAACGATTACAGCTACACCTCCTACAGCAGTTCCATGATGCTCCAGCTGCAGGGCACTTTGGCTTTGCAAAAACTTATGAACTTCTAACAAGAAAGTTCTACTGGCCTAGTCTAAGGACTACTCTTCAAAACTATATATCTTCTTGCACTACTTGCAACTTGAACAAACCTACACGGCAAAAGCCCTATGGCCTCTTGCAGCCTCTACCTATACCAGAACGCCCATGGGACTCCATATCCATTGACTTTATAGTCAAGTTGCCTCCTTCTATCCCAAAAGGGGGTGCTACCCCTTATGACTCTATCCTTGTGGTGGTAGAAAGGCTCACAAAAATGGCACACTTTGAGCCTTGCAATGAGACTATCACAGCTTCTGAACTTGCGTGGCTATTCCTCAAGGTGGTCTTTAAATATCATGGAATTCCTGGACACTGGATCTCAGATAGGGGAGCAGTT